GTAGGGTTTAGAGTTAGGGTTGGTCTTAACATGAGCTAATATGAATGGGAAAATAGGGAAGAACCGTTGGTGGACCTCTTCTTCAGCCTAACCCTGAGTTTAATTAGCAGTTTAATTTCAGAATCAAGGCATAATTAATTAATTAATCAGATTTGTTCAGTTTATTTTCTATTAAAAACTATAAGTATTTTCAAAATGGTTTAAGTCAATTATTATTGTCTACGTTTTTATAAAGTTTATTGTGTGATTATTTTTGTGTGTTTGTTTCTCCCTGGGTGTTCTTCTGAGTTCGAGTTGCTGATGTAGTTCCATCTCTTATCTGTTATCTTTATCTTTATTTTATTTACATTTTTATCTTTTTAGAATCATCATTCAAACCCCCCATACCCTTTAGTTTTTCGTTTAGTTAGTTTTTAGTCAATAAAAGTGACAAAGTAAACTGATTTTCATAGCTTAAAAAGTATCTTTCCTCGTGGGATCGACCCTAACTTACCCTATCTATATGTTTTAATGAATATTAATTCATAAAGGGGGATTTAAGTTAAGGAAAATAATAAATTAATTTGTAGGTGTAACGACACGCTTATCACAAGGTGATGGAATTTTTAGCAGCACGGGTGGGTTTAAAATAGATCTCCCCTCATCTCTTTTATTTTTCTTCAATTTCATTATGTCTTTTGATTTTGTGCCCAATCTCGTCATCGCCGGAGATGGCAGCGATGGGGTGGGTTTGAGAAGAACATCGCAAGGGCGAGGTGGGTTTGAGAGAGGATAACAGTAATGATAGAATAAATGAAAAAACAAAAGGGCAAATGTGGAAAGTCAAGAAAAAGTTAGCACTACATTAAAAAACTGTGCCAAGTCAAACTGAGAAGTTTCAACTGGGACAGAGGGAGTATATTAATATACTTTAGTTTGATTTAAGTGGAAATATATTAAACTAATAGTGAGAGTACTAATACTTTACATACTTATATTGAGAGTTTTTTTTCTTAAAAAAGAAAAAGAAAAAAATTTTGTCACTAAAAGTAAGGACATTTAACTACGGAAATTTAACTGTCATAAAATGTATAAATAGCACATTTAATGAGAGTAATTTCTACTCGTCATAATTGATTCGTAGTTAAAAGTAGTTTTTCTTGTAGTGAATGTAATGTATAATTGTATAAAAATGGCTTTATAAGATTTATGTTGTTGAGAGTTTTTAAAATTTTATTTCATTATACTAATTAATATGCAATACAACTTGAGAGTAATTAAAACTTAAACTTTGTCTAATTTGAATTGAAATAATTGAAAGTAACTAAATACACTGAGACGAAAGTAGTACATACAATTGTTTGTACTGTGATAGTATATATGTTTCCCAAAGTTTCTACTACTACCCCCAACATAGAACTTGTAATGTTAATTTCAATTTTATTATCTAAATGAGGAAGGTAATAATTTTCAACATTCAAAATATGGGCCTATAAAATGCAAATTAAATCTATGTGGTATATTTAAAGGCATTGTGGTTATAAAATTTAGCACTTGTTATGTCACAATTGACAAATGTTAATTGTCATAAACAGATAAGCCTACTGAATATTTAATTTATCGTAGAGCCATACCCATAACATACGCCCTCCTATCTTTCATAAACAGATAAACATGCCCCAAGTAAAAAGATTACGGAGTATTTAATTTATCGTAGAGCCAAATCAATTTTATGTAAGATTCGGTCTAGTCAAGAATATCAAAATTATGGTTTCAATTGAATAAAAAGAAAAGGAAATGAATTTATTTATTTATCACTGTGAGAAATATACAAAAAGTACGTAGTACATGCAAAGGTACAACAATGTCTTTTGAGGAACTCAGGAATGCTCTCAAAAGAAGCAGAATTAATTTCTTATCACAGACCCATATAACACTTGAATTGGTAGATGCAACCTATGTGTCGTAACGCAGTAATGTTGAATTGCTTGCTCATTGTGGATGCTTATACCAACACTGGATGGATCTTCTTTTCTCTTCTTTTATACCAACAATACTATATTTAGTGTCTCCTCCAAATCCCTAAAACTATCAGTAGTTTGTAAAGGGTAAGTGCAAAGTGATGGCAATAGTTACCATAGGGATATACAAATTCCATGAGTAGTCCTCGTAGAGAGTTCCCTTGTTCCCCTATTTGTAAAAAAAGTACAGAACTGCCAACAGGAAAGAGAACAAAGATGGGAGTAAAGAAGGTAGAAATGAGACATTTGGTATCACAGTCAAACCGTGGCATCCCTCTACTTCATAGTTCTAGTAATGGACATAATTATCTTGGTAAAGTAGCGTAAATGAGCCCCAAAAATGTAATGTTTTAGATATGAAAAAGCCACAAATTGGCCTCTGATGAATTTTGAGATTCCAAATTAAGAGGGACAATGCTAAAAAAGGTTTCAGGTCCCTTAACACCAACAGGTGATCCCACACATTCATCTAGCTGCAATAACGCAACCCAAAGAGTAGATCAGCCTCACCCTCAATGATAATGATATAAAACCCAAGAAATGTTAAATGTATCACCTATTAATATGAGAACAAATCTTTAAAACGTATAAAAATCTCAGCCGTCAAGAAGTAATCCTCAATCCACATGACAGAAATAACAAAATGGTTTGAAAATATAAGCACGATTGATGATTTATGATAACTATTGGCAAAGCTTACTCAATTTTAGAAGTTGTACACTGCCCAAATAAAACCTTTAGGAAAACGATAGGAGGTCCACCATGAAACTATTAGTTGTTGGTTCCTTGAGAGTATCAAGTATTTCCACAAAAGATTGTTCAACATAATTTTTAAAATGGGTTTAAGTAGCTCCTCCTCACAATGGTTCTATTTCTAATGAGGTGATTAATGTCCTTAAATTGTTCCCCTGATAAGAATATCCCCTTAAATGTC